CAACATTACCTTTCCAGCTTTCGTTAACGCTGCAACTGACACCATCACTGACTCACCGCCTCTACCACCGCAATATATCGACTTCATTGGATTCACACATGCGACGAACGACCAGGTCCCCAACAGCGACGAAGGACAACTTCAAGAGGACGACAACCACGACGATGAACAGACCATGTCACGACACCCCAACCAGTGCGCTGATGGCGGCTGGATTGAAGCCAAAGGGCTTTCGCGATAGCTCCACACATTACGTAGAGTGTAGCGGTTCGTGTACCGAAGACAGTACTGGGCGTGCGCTTCCTGTAGCGTTGAGGATTGGGCGTATTGGTTCTTTTGCTCTCTAGTGCGAATTCGTCGTGTCGGGTTTACATGGAGGTGTCGTGTCGGAAAAACTTGTGGGTAGCGCGTTCGCGGGCTATGGCATTAGTTACTGCAGCGACAGTTGCCATTCGTGGGTGTCGTGTGTCGGATTCTTCTGGGCGACGCAAGCGCATGTTCATGAGTGCTGGCATTGGTATTCGCAGGTGTCGTAACGGATTTGACTAGTGGGAGACCTAGCGCATGTTCATGGGTGTTCGCATGGCTTCATGTGGTGTTGGCAGTCATGGATGGTTACTGCAGCCGTTGGTATTAGCATGAATAATGACCGCGAACTAGGAACAATACGGCGGGCGTTGCCCCCTGACATTCCTTCTGGCATCACACACCATCTAAATCCTGCCTACACCACACAAGCGTATACACACACTTACTTCCCATTCATCTTGGGAAGCGCTCACAGTGGGCGTGGCGGCGTAAGCCGCCGTAAAACCTTGTATATATATATATCGTAATATTTTTTTACTACCACACCTGGAACGTTTGTGTGCATTTTATGTCGGAGGGTTCTCAAACGCCACCGAACGATCGTGTAGGGCCTGTTTGTTACCCAGAAGGGAGTTTTCGCTGTATGCTGCTTGGGGGAACGTAGAAACACGGGTTGTATTCCGCTAACGCTATGGATTCATTGCTAACTTATCATAGACCTTCATCTATGGATAGAGATTAATAGATGGATCTGAAGTCTTTAAAAAAAAACGGTTCGTGTCGACCGGAGGGCGTGTTTGTTAGATCTTCGCGAAAGAACAAGGGTGGGGGTTTAACGATAAATTGTTCAGTACCTCGGTAGACACTTGTAGAATGAAGTGGGCGCGACACAGCAGTGGGGGAAATTGTTGCCAGAACCGCGCACTCAGCCGAGGAGACAAAAAGGAAGCACTTGTCAGGTGGCTCGACAAGAAGATATGATGCGCTGAACAGCGACGAGTCCACTGAAACGGGGGATTTTCGTTACAGGCCAACAAACTATTGGATTGGCAAGGATCACCACGAGGACGCCGCGGTTGGTGCAAGCGGCAGACCGCCCCCCGCCGCCAACACCCCAACCCCATGCCATAAAAACGCCACCATCGCGAAACCGGCCACAAAACGACCGGTCTCTACCCCCCCCCTCCCTCACCTGGGCCCAAAACAGGATGTTACCGTCCCGCCAGCCCTCGGGTCCCACGCGATGGTTCCCCTCCGATGCTGCAGACGCGCGCCGTCCGGCCCAACAACCTCCGTCGCCAACAGCAGCGCTAGCGCCGACACTGCCACCACCGCCGCCGCCCCCGCGGTCACTGCTCCCAGGAGAAAGAGGTGGGGAGATGTGGTGGCCTTCTGGGGCGGGATTGTTGCTACCCACGGAGGGCCGGGTCCCTCCCCACTGCCACCAGCGCCGCTTGGGCCGCCGAGACGTCGTCGGCTTCTTCCCCTCCTCGTCCGTTGCTTGCTGCGGATGAGGCGGCGGCTCTTGGGTTTCCCGCCGCTGTTCTCGGTCCGCCTGCTGCTGCTGCCTGGCCGGTTGCTGGGTCGTGTCAACATCAACACTACCCACTTCGGTGCCGATGACGCCCGGCTCGGCACCTTGCCTGCTGCCGCTGTCGTCGCTGTCGCTGATTCCGCAGCTGTTACTGCTGCTGCTGCTGCTGCTGCTGCTGCTGCTGCTGCTGCCGCCACCGTTACCGTTGCGGCTTCCGCCGGGAACGTGTCCCCCGCGGCGTACAGTGTCGATCGCGAAAGGATGTGCTTCGGTCGAAAATACGTAGTTGCCCTTGTGGATGAAATTGTCCTGGGCGTGAAGCGGTTCGACACGACCGCGTTGAGGGACGAGTGTTGCACGCATAAACACGGTCGACATGGGGGAAGAGAGACCTTAGGAAAAAGACGGCACCGTCCAAAAAAAAAACGGACCAAAAAGTTCTGCTCACAGCCAATGACAGGGAAAGATAGCCGCTCCACTTTTCAGAACAGAAACCAGCGCTGATTACTGCATACACACATCAGCAAATCAACCGGCGAGCACCGAACACACGAAAAAAACAAACAAACAAAGTCAGTCGCCCTCCTGAAAAAAATGGCCAAACATAAAATAGCAAATTCGAGGAACAGCACCACCTCGTTGCCCTCCTTGGACAAAAAAGTGTGACAAATACATACTACAACAAAGGAACAACAGGGAGCACGGCAAGGTCTACGATAGCATGTATACCTCATCGAAGAGGAGGTAGAGGTACTTGAGGGTCTCCGAGAGGAAGAAGCTCGGCATCTGATCGTCAAGGGAGCAGTCCTCGACGTCTCGAACCCCGGCGTAGCCGCACTCGGTCCGACAGGACGCCTGCGCTTTCGCGGCAACACACAACGGCGAAGCGCGGTGGGTGAAACAGCAGTACCAACAACGGCAGCGGCGAAAACAACGCCAACCTGAGCAACCAACGACAACGACAACGACAACGACGACAAACAATGGCAGCATGGATATGGCGATAGGAGATGGGTTGAACACTGGGCGCGGGAAGCGCGGCAGAACAAGTTGCTTCTCCCGTTATGTGATGTTGCTTCTCCCGTCATGTGATGTTGCTTCTCCCGTGATGTGATTAGTGTTGCCTTTCTCGTCGTTCTTTCGTGATTCTAAGCCACTGGCATGCCATGGCACGCAGAGAGCCGGGGATAGCACAGGGTCTATCTCTACATACCGCAGCATACGGGCAGCCGAGGCATCTGTTGCACGACGAAAGCGCGCCACCAAAAGACGAGAGCTCATTGGGCACGTCCGAGCAAAGCCGAAAAATAAACATCAAAACAGCCGGGTCTACTAAAGATAAAAAAGGGAGAGCACTTCACGAGCATTGACACACTAGTCACGTACGAATAGTCGGACACGGAAGATCACCGCACGAGCAAGGGGAAGCACACACAAAGAGAGAGATCTGACGCCCCCTCACGGGGTCCCAGATCACGGCCTTTGGAAACATTTTCCGTTTCAACCACATTGAGACTGACGTCTTTCTGTTGGTCAGTCGATACCGCGGTCCATGCGAATACTTGAGACACACACACACACACACCTGCAGCGATCGGAGGAAGTCGCTGCCCGCCCACAGCCAGGAAGGATCGCCAGAGGCCCGGTGCACCAGGAGGGTGCTCTCGATGAGCTCGGGCCTTAGGGGGTACGCCTGGGCCACGCGTAGGCGCCCAAAAAAGCGCAGCAACGATATCAAGTAGTTAGAGCTACACGTTTGTAATCGTGGCTTGAGACGAGTTGGGTGGAGCGGATGTCATTGGTGTTGCTGGTGCTATCGACAGTCTAGACGTCCAAGACTACAGACCAGTTTCCACTTTTGCGCAGGATACACAACACAGCCGTAAGGGTACGCCTACATGTACGAACATCGGCATGCACTCGCTCACCCTCTCGACGCCCTGAGATGCCCCAAGTTGTCTGCCAACATTGCTAGCAGCTTCTTGGCACAACCATCATTTATTTCCCATTTGTTTTAAGACTAAATGCTGTTCAAACCTGTATCTCCCACCACTTGGAGATATACGAGAGCGCTTTTTAAGACGATCACGCTCAGCCACCCGACGCCTTCCTCCTGGATAGGGTAAATTACTATGGATATCCCCAGCACACAATGATAAGACTCGCCTCTGCCTCTGCCTCTGCCTCTGCCTGTCTGTCTGTATGTATGTCTGTTCTCTCGCCCTCTCTTCTCTCTCGACAAAAATATCTCCAACACGGTCTGCCTCGCGACCTACCCTGGTGTACATCTCACCCGTCGTGATGGAAAAAGACCAGCTTGAAAAATGGGTCCAGGGCAGGGGGGGAGGGGTTGAACATCAAGTACCATGGCATCAATGGCCAAACACCACTCACTCGGCCGATCCCGTGCTCCTTGAGGGCCCACTGGTCCTGGCTGAACTGCTCGGGAAGAAACCCCCAGTCTCTCCACACCAGGTAGAAAGCGTTCAGGGTGCGGCTGGCGAGGGTGACTTCCCCTTGATATTCATAGCCGCGGAAGCACAAGGCGACATCGGGGTCGGGCTCAGGCACGGATGGTATAGCGCGGACGGACGAGCAAGAGAAATGAAAAAACGAAGCGGGTAACAGCGTGTTCAGTACAGAGCAGCATAGATATATGCCACAAATATAATACTCCGAGTCATGACACGATCAGGCTTGTCCTAACCAATATTCCCGTTTGCGTCGTCTCTACATAACTTACGCTCGACGGCGGCACGAGTCTGGCCTCTCCAAAAACTCAACTCCCGGCTCAACGACCACTTCAACGCTAGGATAGGAGATAGGCCAGAGAACCCGTATATTTTACCTGATATTTGAGCCGAATGTTGATACTCGTGAGTCAGTGTCTCTGCAGCATGTCGGCCGGAGGCAGAAATAAGGCAACGCGCTCATACCAAAAGAAGGCAACAATCCGCATTTTTTTGGTCGCGCGTTGGGGAAACAGGCAGAACACGATACACGTAGCCTTCCTTCCGCAGAAGATCTGGACTTCCTCCTCCTCGTCTTCTCTCTCTCTCTCTCTCTCTCTCCCTCCCTCTCTCTCCCTCCCCCCCGCCTCCCCTCTTACCCATGAGCGTCTGCATGCCCGGCCAGAAGGCCATGAGGTTGTCGAAGGTCCTGCTCGTCAGGGCCCCGCCTTCCATCTCCACGCCAGCGTACCAGTCGCCCTCCCGCACGAACCGCTGCGAGCGGAACGGTACGGTACGGTTCGCGCGTAGCATGATCATAATGAGTAGAGGACGTCAATTATTTATTCTACACCTTTCGGTATGTGCTTGGATACACCAGCCGGGCACCCGCAGACACGGGAATACCGCAGAGGAGCAAGATAATGTTTACCGTTCTTTTGTTGGGTAAATGCACCATTGAAGCGGTGTTTATTGATCAAACAACAAGAAAATTAACGCCAACACCGCTGTCATTTGTGTTAGCAGCTTCACGTGCGCCGCCATCGAAATGTTGGCCCTCACCAAGAGGACGACAGCTTTGGCCTGATTTCTTTCCCGACATCAAGACCAGTCATTCCCGCCTAAGCTAGGGCGATTCACTGGTCAACTCGTTGTATAGTGTCGCTGAGGGCTGATGGCAGGCAGTCTCGTTTACTTGTCGAACGCGGGGACTTGCTGGGTGGGTCTACCGAATGACCTACGCTTGAAATCTCCAGCAGTTTATACATTGTACGCCAGAATATCTCGAGCCCTTTTCTTGCGTCACGAAACGCGAGGAAGCCACCCGTGCGTAGCCAGTCCAGCTCTCTTTCTCTCTCTCTCTCCCCCCCCCCCCCCCCCCCCCTCTCTCTGTCTGTCTGACTGTGTGCCTGTGCCTGTGGCTGTCGCTTTGCCTTTCTCTTAGTTTCTCTCTCTCTCCTCTCGCTGACGCTCTCCGATATTCTACTGTAGTCATTTTTCACCTGAACGCTGGTGTAGACCTGCATAAACATGTCCCAGTACCCCACGTCCCCCCAGAGCACGTACATCTTCAGTAAGTACTCGTAAAAGCTGTCGCCGTTCGTCCTACGCATAGGGCAACAAAAAACAAAGCGAACAAGAGACAAAAGCATCAGAATAAAGGGGTCATGAAGGAAAAGAGATTTTTCATACAAGTGACGACAGAACAAGGCAACATCATCAAACCTAAGCGAGAAGGCACGAAACGAAAATCTGAGGCAAAGCCGTGACACAGAAAACAAAACCGTCGTGTAAATGCATGCACAACGCTACAAGCATACAACACAAAAAAAATAGTAGACCTTACCCGCGCGTCCCTCCCTCCCCGTCTCTCTTGCTCCCCCCCCCCCCTCTCTCTCACCCTATGCTGCTTTGGGTCTCTGTCCAGACCCCCGTCTTGGAGTCGATGTGCTTTCCGAGCAGGCCGAGGGCGGCGCTTCTCCGATCGAAGAGGGCCTTCACGGCCCCCTCTGCCGCCTGTGCCAAGAGACCGAACAAGAACACACAACAAAAACATTCACGATGGTGTTGTCTTGACATTAAAAACCGTTCCGATCTGCATGTCCAGTACCTTCATCTGTCCGCACTAATCTAACACTTGACCGTAGAGCAGAAAAGAGGAACAACAGCATACTTTGACAGCAATTTGTTTGGGGGGTTGTGTGTGTTGTTGTGTTTAGGTGTTATGCGTGGGTATCTGTTAATTTTCAGCTTCAGGGACGGAATATGGAACATGCGGAGAGGGCGTCGTGTGTGGCAGGCACGAGAGTAAACGAAATAAGACTGGATGCTCAAATGGTCACAATAGACACACAGAAGACACACAGAAACCACAACGGCAAGCCAGGCCAGCAACAACACCGCAACCCCTTCACTCCCCCCCCCCCCCCCCCCCCCCCCCCCCCCCCCCCCCCCCCCCCCCCC